AAAGAGCAAGATGGGACAAGAACAGAGAGTAAAGGACAATGTGCTTTATTAGAATTGTCCGTGGGCACCTTACAATTGCACTGAAATGAAATACACTAGGGATAACTGGGCAGACCTTCCCCTGGTGTAGCAGAGATCTGTTTATTCCTGCAGTGCTACACACAGTTACATGAGCTGAGGATCTGACTCAGCATCAACAGCATTCTTATGCTGGCAGGTCAGTAGGGCAAACTGCATACGTGATATTAATTCATGGTGTGTAGATGATACTTAAGCACTGTTATAGTGCCTTGTGTGTCATGAGAGATCTAAGACAAACAGGGCTTTGTTTGCATGCTTCTGCGCTGTGGTAGGGTGACAAAATGTGCTGAAAGCTGACAGTGCATGACTTCAGCAGGGTGACATGGATCCGTTCACAATCTTAATGTGACTGTTCAGCGTTTGTGAAAGTTGTTGAGGGCAATTACTCCTTATCAGGATCTTCCACCAATGGTCTCACTGCTCCTCCCCTTCTGAACCCTTTGACTGATCTCATATGGAAATACCAGGCAGTCTTGCTGCTCCGCTGCTGTTAGAATGGTTCCAAAACTAATGTTTGAATGGTTCTAAAATTAACAGGAGTGACAAAGTGAGGGTGGGAAGAGGCAGGACACCAGAAAAGCTCACTATGAACTGAGGAGATCTCAAGGTCACAGGAGCCAGAGAGTCTTCCAAGATGCTTCGTTCTCAGAAAGACAAGGTTATTTGAGACACCCCCCCCCCCCCTCGGGAAAAGTGCTGCATCTTAAAAGAGTGGCCTGAGGAAGGAATAGAGTTAAAAGATTGCTTCCTGGTACTGCTACATCAGATCTGGGCACTTTTGCGGCAGTAGTGTCAGTGCCTCATCTCAGCAGGCTCCCTGTGGGTTCTGGAGTTTGAATAGAGACCTGGCTCTGCCCATGGCCGGTTTTTACCGTGTGAACTCTGTCCACTCCTGCATCCTGAGAGCTGGGACCTGCAGTCGAAGAATCTGCCCCCAGGAGACTGGTGTTGTCCACAAGGCTCCCTTAGTTTAAGCACAACCTCACCCAGAATGCCAGCAGGGTGGAAGCTCAAGTCAGCTCTTCAGGGGCATGCAGCAAATGAAGCAGCCAGACACACTGGCAGGCATTGCACAGGATTCTTGAACATCAGTGCTCCTTACAGGGCAGCAGAAGAGAAACACACATCTGGACAAAATAACACACTTTGCACAGTTTTGTCTGCCTATGTTTCCTCACCACAATAGACTATTCTTTCATCTTGGGTCAGTGTACTTTGGGGAACCCAGGATTCAGGGCAAGCAACCTTTGTTTTTTCTTTAAAATGACAAAGACTTTCTCTCTTTGCTTCAAGGCAAATCCTTAGCTGACCACACAGTTACATAATCCCCTCCCCCCTCCCTCCACCCCTTGGGCACTAGGGACACTTGTACACATCACAATTTTTGCCCTTTCTTGTGTTCCAGCAGTGTTACTGTTTGCACGTACATGTTTCATGTTTCCCCAATACTTTAAAAGTCTTTCTGGTGTACTAAAGTAAAACTCATCGAGACATAGTTTACTTTGAGTTGTCACGAATTAAAGCATTGTGTCCATGGATTCTTTACATGCAAACACAAATGCACGTAAATACTTGTAATGATCCCCTTTGTCCACCAGATAGCACTGCAACTTTTTACATTTCACCACTTTGTCCAGCAGGTGTTGCTTCAAATTGCACTTACAAATGGATGAGATTAGCTGCCCTGTTTCAATAACTGGGTGTGATGTGTGTCTTTGGATGCCAGGTGTTTTGCATGCCAGATGCTGTGGTCCACCTAGCCCAACATGAAGCAATGTTCGTTCTCCTGTATGGACATCCACACCCCCACCACTCACACCCTATTTATGCCAGGGTGACAAAGGCACGATCACCCCATTATATGCCCCTGCCCCTGACTGAATGCAGCCCGTAGCTGCTGCTTTTCTTTTCTTGTGCTGGCTGCTGCACCATTCGCAATTACACAAGGTCACCCCACAGTCAGACCCATGGCAGCTGGCAGCCCTTAATGAGAATGGCACAGTTACCACATAATCTGCCCCAGGTTCAGTCCAGGAATGAACTGCTTGCATGTCTACAGGGGGGTGCCATGGACTGCTTTCATTTGTCTTTCAGTCAGAAGACAGCAAGTGGCACACAGCTTGTCATAGCAATGAGTGCATACAGCCCATAGCTGTCCTTTTTTTTTTGTGCTTGCTGCTGCACCACTCATGATTGCACAAGGTCACCATCCCCCCCCCGCCCTGCACCCCACCCAAGTCACACTCATAGCAGTAGGTGAGATGCTCTTATAGTAAATGGCACCCACCCATTCATAGGAGGGGGTGGACTGCAGCCGACCCCCGCTCCTAGCATTGCTCCTAGCACTGAGTGCAGCCAGCCCATAGCTGCCATGATCCCTTGCACTGCCACACTAGTCAAGATTATATAGTCTTACCCCATCCTGCTTGCCCTAATGCACCTCTTGTGACAGCTGAAATTATGTCTGTGTAATAAAGGTGCTTGCTAAAGACTCTATGAAAATTAAACTAAGTGTTTTTCTGTATTTATTTAGATATTAAGCTATATGTTGTTGCTAAAAGCCTAGTTAAAGTTTAAAATGTAGTGAGGCCTTGTATAAAGTAAGGCCTAGTAAATTTAGCAAAGCCTTGAAGTAGTAAGGCCTTGTGGAGTAGTTAAAATTACCTTATCAAAGGAATGCAAGGCTTATAATGCTATTGGTCAGTCTAAAGACAGTTAAAGTAAAAAAAATCTAAGTAGTTGTATGTTATCAGAACCATTCAGAAGCTATAAATTAGCTAAAATATCTAGAAACCATTCTAAAGAAAAATACAGCTCTGTAAAAAGGATTAGTTAACTGTTGCCTGGATCAGTGGGCCCATGGACCTCAAGGAGCCCAAGAACTGCATCCCAGGGTCCTTCCCAGTACCTCTCAGGCAGCACTGATCAGGAACGCCTAACTTCGCTGAACTTTGTGGAAAAAAAACTTGCTGTGTATCAGGCATCAGAGGGAACTGCCGATAAGTTGCTGACGTGAATTTTTTTTGTCTGTCATTGTTTGTCTTGTTACTACGCGTAGTTGTGTTTTTGTTAAGTCAATAAAACTTTCTTCCCTTTCTATCCCCAACCACACTCTCAATCCTGAACCCTCTGCAGGCGGCTAGAACATAAATTGGCATCATAAACAGGATTGAGAGGCTCTAGTTCGGAGAGAAGGGTCGGAATAAAGGGAGTTGTGTGGGCCCTGTTAGTGGCTTTGCTTAACAGGGACAGAGAATCCCGGGTGGGATAAGGATAGGTTAAAACCTGCCTGGAGTGACTAGAGAACTGTACCCAATCATTGGGCTAGGTTTGCTACTGCTGCCTGGGGTAAGCCCGAGATGGACTGCCTGTTGTGGCAGCTGGCCACATGCCTGTGGTTAGGGGCCGAAGAGAATGCCCAGCTCCGGGAAGAGGTCACCCGGCTGAGTAAGGAGTTAAAAAATGTAAAAAATTCCAATGGCATGGTGTACGAGGCTGTGCGAACTGCGCAGAGCTGCTTGGAAACATTAGACTGGAGGGAAGGAAAAATTATGATCGCACGCATGGCCGCTTCTCTCCAGAAGAGAGTGCAGTTAGAACAGACTGTGGAGCCCTCCTTCCACAAGTGTCTGTATAGAAATAAACCAGAAATTGAACTCTGGGAAGATTAAAGGGATAAGATTGATGGAGAGGAGAAGATTAATGATGAGCCTGGTGCTGAAACCCCATATGTTCCTGCCCAGAGGGAGAATCCTAGCCAGGCCTTCCCCGCCCCGAGGGAAAAACTCAGCCAAGTTTTTCCCATGGTAATAACTCATTTAACGCTGCAAGGAGAGAATCCCCAAACAGAGCTGCATTCCTTTACCCATGAGGAGATTAAAAATATTCAAAGGCAGCAGAAGTCCAAGCCGGGAGAGCCACTAATAAACTAGCTAATTCAAATGAATAGTGAAGAGGCATTTACAATTTCAGTAAATATAGCCAAAGCTGCAAAAATAGTTCTGTGCCCTGAGCTCCAGGTAAA